ATGATTTAGTTCTTCTATTTAATGATTTAGTATCCTGCAGTGTCCTAGCAAATACGTCTTTACATTAGGGTGAGATAGCCCTCCCACTGCCAGTAGGCAGGATAAATAGACCAACAGGCAACCAGGCAGGATTTCCTGAGGTTCAGGCTACTGCAGCTTCCTGGACAAATGAAAAAAATGCAGGTGTCACTTCCCTGCCCCCAGGCCAACCAGGTCACAGGATAATTGCCCAATAGCCTGCTGGGATAGGCCCACCCTGCTCTTCTTTATCAAGGTTCATTTTCATTTTGATTGAGTCATGATGGTTTAGTGCCACAAAACATCTGAGGATATGCCTTGTAGGGAAAACGTCATAAAGAACTCCGGTGAGCTCCCCTTCCCTAAAATCCAGGGTTCAGTTTCACGGAGTCGTTTGTAAAGGATAGGCAAGCAGGACTAGTTGCAGGGCTATGTCTTTCTCTGTGAATGGGAGGAGCAAAATCCCTTTCTTGTTAGTCTGAGTTGCCTGGCTGCCTTACTTCAACTGAGGCAGCACAGCTTGCTTTAGCTTTGAAGTGTGAAAACCAAATAATGTTTGGCAAAGGGGAGAAATAGAAGCTGTGCAGCCTTCTTGGAGCATGAAGAGACACACCCAGCTCTGTGCACTCAATGCAGAAGCTTTTCCCATCCCGTTACCAATCCCCTGACCCATGGCCACTCCTGAGAATTGTGACTAAAACAGAAGCAGGCTTGCTAGGTTGCCCCTCCCTGAAACTTTTCTGTTATGGCTGGTGGGCAGACACTGTGAATTTCTCTAATTTGGGAAGAAACCATGCAGATGCTCGCCCTCCAGCTACCAGAGTGTGTGTCTTGCTAATCTGATCATGACTGCAAAGCAGGGAAGCTCGCGCGTGCGTGCGCGCGCGCGCACACACACACACACACACACACACACACACACACACACACACACACACACACACACACACACACCCTGACTGGTTTGCTCCAGTACCCTGAGCAAAAGTTCAGGCTATTTATTGTCTACCCCCTCTCTGTCCTGGGGAAGATTTTAGAAATTCTAATAGAGGAGGCTGAGAAAGAAAAATATTGGCTTCTACAGTACAAACATCTGTGTCCTGAAAGAAAATGTTAAATTTTCCCGTAAATCAAATGTTGACATACATCACCTGCTGCTGAAGTTGTGTCTCTATGGGAGAAATTTTCTGCTCTTGAGAATGGATATTGTTTTGGAGTCTCTCCTCTGAAATGCTAGCTGGTTTAGAATTGAAACAGGTTTGGTTTAGAGGTTTCATGAATTGCCCCAGTTTGTTTTCAAAAAGCTGATCTCTTGGACACCCTCCTGAGCAGGAGAACAGGATTCCATGTGGTGGAATGCACTGTTTTCTGTAGAAGCCTGGGTCCCTACGTAGGCATCTGCAATGATTTGGGAACTGCTTACCTCTGCCAGAGGATAAAGAATTTTAATCAGAGATGTGGGAGGGGTAAAAAAGGCTAGGGGCATGGAGAAAACATGAAATCCACAGGAAAAGGGAAATTTCCAGAACTAGATGTTTTACCCACCACTTTCCCCAGTGCCTCCCAAACATGAAGTCTAAGTATTCTTTGTTTAACACCTATGTTTTAAAAATTCCAAATTAAATTACCCCATTCTCTCCCTCTAACTAGACACACACACACACACACACACACACACACACACACACACACACTTAACTTGTTAGATTTGAAAGATGATGATATATCCAACCAGTGTGCTTTGCCAGTCTGCACGGTGAAGGCCAAGATTAATGCAGAAGGTTGGTGCAACGTTGCCGCAGAGCAGCGTGATCAGAATACAAGATGGAGCATAGGGGGAAAGGCCAAGAAATGTGTCTGTGCTTGGAGTTTACACAAGTCTCCTTAGCAACTTGTCTGAATTTATTTTTCCCTTAATGCGTGTGGGTTTCTTCCAAACCCTCAGTGAAACAGGAGTTGCGTGTCTAACAGTCCCCTATTTCTCTTCTACGAGGGTAAAACTAGGATAAAACTATGTCAGTTGGTTAAGAAGCCTTTCTTTCCCTCACCAGCTCTTCTCCCACCCCAGCCCCTCCCCATGTAGGTAGCTCCTTTGCACTGTGACTCTGTGGACTGTTGGTAGCTTTCCAGAAATTCAAGTCTCCATGGGGGAGTGATGGAGCCTCTTTCTGATGGCCACAGCTGCGCAGGTTTCTGCCGCAGCCTCACTGCTGCTGGTGCCTGCTCTTGTGTGTGGCATGTGTGTAAGTGTGCCTGTTTATATATATGCCTGTGTGCTGTAAAAGGGGAGGGACAGCAGTCTGCCCTTCCTCTCTGCTATTGCTTTTCCTTTTCTGCCTTGCTCTGCTTCCTTTCTATCTTTCCCCTCCCCACACAAACACACAAACACAAAAGGTCCTGTAATTCTGATCAGAAGATGAATATAAAGCTATTAGAAAAACCTGACATTTAGGAATCTGGTATGTTGGATTTTATGTGACTAGGCTCGCTTCAGGGGAGACAACCGTAAATACTGCAACGGTTTTACCTAAAATTGCTTTACCTTAAAATGGCTCTAGGGGAGTATAGTTCCTGCCTCATTGGAGCCGATGTTGAATATAAATCTTAATATTTCTCCTTCTTGCCCCTTCCCCTGTTAGAGTCAGCAGAAAAAAGGAAGAAGAAACCTAGTCACAAAATATTAAGGTTTTATTTTGGCTCTTTTACAAACAGATGTTGCTTGTCAGTCTGTTGTTAAGCAGGCACCAGATTGTACCAAGGAGCAGTGTGTGTATGTGTGTGTGTGTGTGTGTGTGTGTGTGTGTGTTCGGGGTGGGGGAGGACTTGGGGTGATAGTGTGTTAGGGGTAGATAGAGGGCTAGAAGGCAAAAAGAGATCAATTTTGGGAAAAGTTTAGAGCAAGAAGTAGGTAATATAGATTAAAACTTTTTTTCCTGAACTTTAATTTGGTTGAGACTGTATCATATCGTATTTCATGTGGTTGTTTGTTGTTATTCCAAACGGAGAGGGACATGTGGACATCAGTAGACATGAACAGACTTCGGTGAGAAAAGCTGACCTATCCTAGGATGAAATGCAAACAGAGCTGGTACGCTGTTCAGAAGCTCTCCCTCCAAGTGAATCTATACCCTGGAGTAAGGCAAAGGTTTTTCTGTTTCTGTTGAACTCAGTTTCTCGTGGTTAATGGTTGCTACTTTTTGTAAGTATCATTGTGGAGGTTCCAGGCTCCTTTGTACTTTTTCCAGAACAAGAATCCCTTTGTTACACAGTCAAGGTAGTAAGGAAATACTGACTCTTTGCATATTACATACCTCTTTTCTTGCTGGATCCAACTGATTTAATCCTCATTCTTTCCCAAACCATCCTTAATTCATAGCTTTCTAATCTAATTGTGGTGTGCTTTCTCAAGAGTGAAACAAAGCTTTGAATATAAAAGTGTAAAAGTTGACTGGCATACAGGAAGCCTTGTTTAGCATATAGTTCATTTATATTGAAGAAATGACAGACATTCGATTTTAAATATATATATATATATGTATAAAATCATGTTTTTATATCAGAATCAGGGTCTTCTATATTTTTAAAAATTTTAATTCTTTAAAAAAGAAACCCTGGTTTTATTAACAATATAGCTTGAAAGGAAGTTGTACATTAGCTTCATTGTTTGTATTTTAAAAAGGAAGATAAACTGTCATCCTGAGCAAATTGATTGCTTTCAAAAGTGAAAGTAGTCTCTTTAGCCAGCTGCACACGCAACAACTTGTAACTGGCAGCCTCTTTCTCTTTTGTTTCATTGAGTATGTCAAAAGCAAATTTGCTTCCAATTTCTTCCTCCTTAATAGTTGATCTCTGTTATACATCTGTTGTAAGTGAACATTTAGTGGGTTTAAGATTGTTTTTAAATTGCAAAAAAAAAAGTTGACTCCTCAAATAATCTAAGTGCATCTTTTGTTTTAGTTTAATCTTTCTTATTCTGTCATGCCATTTTCATGTCTTTGTTCTTTAGTCAACCTAGTCACATTTTCATTTTTCATAAAATATTTGTTTTTTTAATGTGAGGGGTGTGTGGTAGAAAGATTATAAATATCAATTTGTAATTTTACTTTGCCTGAAAAGAACATGAAAACTATAGCGTTCTTTGCCTGTCTCCTCCCTCCTCTATTTCCTCTTGGTCAGTTTTTCCTGAATAGAAAAGAATTAATTCTACCTAAGCTAGCTGGCTTTGGTGCCAGAAGCCTCTGCATTGCGTGTGTGAGAGACACTCCCACACTGGGGTCTGGTATCTTGGTGGCAATATCACAGGTGGATAAAGCATGATGTGTCACATGGCACCAATGAATTATACTTAGAGCAGCAGTTGCTGGATATGCCTCTTTTGTTGAGGTGATTGGAACTTTCTACAAAAACAAGGGCTGCAGAGGGACAGAGAAAAGACATCAAGAAAACTGAAAAGCCACAGGGAAACCAAAGACTAGCTGTCTCCCCTGCTTCATGATGTCGGAGTGAATGCCAAAGGGTAGATTTGAATTTTTCTTTTTCTTTCTCCCCTTCCTTCCTTCCTTCCTTCCTTCCTTCCTTCCTTCCTTCCTTCCTTCCTTCCTTCCTTCCTTCCAAGTTGTTCAGTTGAATTGATCTATCCCCTTGGGACAAAGGAGTTCTGCTGAGATTCTGTATAAGAGGTACATCTTTAAAAAAACAAGGAGGGTGGAGGGCAGGAAATCTTTCTGTCGGTGTCGTTCTGCTGACATTTTGGTGTTCAAACCCATAGTCAGGCAAAACTCAAATACATTTTCCCTTTTGCAAGCAGCTGCACAGTGAGTTTCCTTCCATTGGTAAAGGGAACAATGAAATAGAAGCAATCCCCGTGTCTAAAACTTGGGCAATGAAAGAACGTTGGAATGGAAGCCAAAAATCCTGCTGTGGTGGAAGGGGGATAGACTCATGAATCCACCACAATAGAATATTTCACTTCTTTTTAACAGCCCCATCAGCAGAGAGAAATAATGACTCCTGAATCATTTCAGAATGAAAAAATTGAAACGATGTCTCAATGATGCTACATTGTGCCAGGTAATGATTGCCCAACTTGATTATACCTCAACCATTCTTAATTATTGATAGCCTATCTCTTAATCATCTTTAGCAAATGAGCAGTTTGGTAGAAAACATTGGAATTTGGGAGTATTCTGAGACTTCACATTCCTATTTGATTATTTTTCTGGTAAAATTGCTCTCAAGGTTCGTTGGTAGCCAGGGAAATTCCAGGAAGAATGTGAAAGTTACTTATTTTCAGAACCTTTATATCATGTGTCTTTCGGGAAATGAAGCAAACATAATGCCTCCCAGTGTTTTTCTAGAGTTACTTTTATTTCAGTTTCTGGTGTTTCTTTTTACTGTCATTCTGGCATTAATTTTAATTTAGCTTTACAAAAGAATTGGGTGACAAAAAGAAACCAGCCAAAAAAAGCAAAAAATCCTGATCCGCTTAAAATAATTTTATTTTCCAGACACAGGTGGATGGTTTGAAGATATTGGCCTAGCAAGATGGCAACAGGTTTAAAAAATAAGATTCATAAGAAGTTACCTTTTCAGGTAATAGTATTTTTCTATAATTTCCCCAAACCTTCCATTCTCAAGTATTGCAAATTTTTAGGGCATGTTTGAGTGATTTAATTGTGAAAAATAGCTGCATTTTAAAGTTGATTTTTTAAAATAGCAACTAGTTTTATATTCATAACCAATGAGTAGAACATTCATGACATTCAATTCTATTAAGTTCAGGAAATTTTTTGGAAGTTATTACTTAACGGTGCTTACTTCTTTCAACAATAGGCAAAACTCATTTGAAATCATCAGGCACTGTTCTAAACTCTGTGCTGTCTTCAGTAACTGGATTTCAAAATATAAGTATTTGAGAATTGTCTTTAAAAAGCCTACCATGCCCTCTAATTTCTGGAAGATAAGGCTTATTATATGTTGTATAATAACAATCTTGATGCTTTAATTTTAGTCTTATATTGTTAATGCTATATGGCATTTTATGGAATTATCTTTATGCATGTCTGGTAACTAAGATTTGAGCTTAGCTATCATGATATGTGTAGGTAGTTTCCTTTTTGTGTTATTGAAGGACTTTGTGACAATATTTTAAATAACAAAATGATATATTTGCTTGACAAATTACCTTACTCTGCTTTTACTTTTGTTAATGGGCATTAGCCTATATTTTCCAACTTAATTATTAGTATTACTATCTAAGAGACCCCCACAGAATCTTGCTTAATAAAGCAAACCAAAAGTTCTTCTGAAAAGAACCCTTATTTTTCTCCTCAACACAAACAAGGTTTTTGAAGGAGGTATTCAATTAATATTTTAGAAAAACTCTATTCCCAAACAAACCATTCTTCTACTGGGTCAGTATTTGACTTTCTTTCTTTTTTTTTCCCCTGCAGTGTGCGCATCTTCTGATTTCTTTTATTTTTTGAAATTAAACCTGTATTGTTTAGAAGCTAACACTACAGACCATTTGGAATGAATGATTTCTTTCTGTCCTATACCTCTCCCCATGAAAAGATACAGAGATGCTTCCCAATTGAAACAGCATTGAGCTCTTTTCTGTGGACTTTGAGGGTACAAATTGATGAAGGTGGTGCTACTTAAATGACTAAATTTAGCATTTTGACAAATCTTTGTCCATTGCTAATAAATATTGCATTATATCTTTTTAAAAAAACTTGATAATAACGATTAGTTCTCATCACTTTTGGAGCCTGGGCCTATTTTCCATTGTAATAAGAGCTCCCATGTCTCATGTGTTCCAGCAATCCGTAACAGTGTTCAAAGTGCCCATCCACAAATACATCTGGCCACATGCCTTTGCCAGAGAGATCAAAGGAAACTAAGAAGCTTGGACTTTATTTTAAAAACCTTTTATTTTAGAAAAAAATGGACATTTTAAAAGAAAGATCATTTTGAGGTGATTGGTTTGGATCCCACTTACTTCCACCTGCTATTGTTGTTTCTTTGGATCTAAAAGTCAAGCCACAAGCTGCAACTAAATTCTGAGTTTTGGCAACCTTCACATTACCCGTGGGCTCCAAGCAATTGTACCCACAGACGGCTCAGTCATGATGAAATAGGCAGACAATGAAGTTTCTATGAATGATTTCATCTCAGTCCCTATTTGTCCTACTGTTGGCTTCCTGTATTCTTGCTTTCTCGTTAGGTTGTGTACATAAGGGCCTCCTTTTTTCTCTGAATAATTCTCAAATTCTTCTCCATCTTGTTTTTTATTAGCAGAACCCTCAGATTCTTAAGAAAGGAGTGAATATTCATATGTTGAGGCAAATGAGATAGTATTTGTGAGAGCCAAGATCGACACGCATTGATAACAAAAATTGAAAAGGTCTCTTTTTAGGTCCTGCAAAGGGATGGGGGCATATGTTTTCCCCAACATCTAGGGAGGGGGATTATCTTATTTTCCATCATGTGTCCTTGAAGTGCTTATGATTAAGACTATGGTTGCAATAAAATTCACAAAAGGAGCAATTAATGAAAGTTTATCATCTTGGATGTTCTACTTTTATATGCAAAACATTGGTTTTGAAGAAAGGATGTTACATTGACAAATGGAATCCTTTTTTTGAGAAAGACTCAGGAACAGATTCATTCCCATATCTTCAAACAGTTTTAAGGGGAACAATTATACAGCTTCTTTTCTGGTACAAATTTTATAAAATATGTCCATATTTGCTCACTTTTGGTGTTTGGACCAATAATGGGAGTGGGTGGAAGTAAAAATACAAACTTTTCCTGATGATGAATCTTCCAATTTAATATAGCTGGAAATCTCTAGAATAGTTGTTAGAAAATATGTACAAGCCTGTTGGTGCTTGTAGTTTGTTTCAGCTGCTTACCAGAATGCACATGGAAAGGGAAAATTTCACCATCTTTTATCATGTAATTACAGATATTTAAAAGGACGAACTTGCATTTGGGCTTCCATGTGTTTTTCTCCCTGCCCCCCTCTCTCTTTCCCTACAATTTCAAGAATTTCCTTTATTCTGCTGATTTGCCATATGATATCACTTTGCCCAGATTGTGTGTTAAGGACTGAATAAATGAGTCTTTCATAATATTAAACAGTGAAATGATGAAGTTTACCTAAAGTCCACTGTATCTGCAGAGTTTGTGAAAACAAAGGGAGGTAGGTGAGGAAGAACACAGAAAATGCCGATTCACTTCTGCTCTTTAAGACCAGGATGAAATCTTTCAATTCCTGGCATAAAATAATAGAGTGGCATAATCTTTGGCTGGACTAATGTTTTTAATGTTTTATTTCCAGACATGTCAAACCCCTAAACGAGAGAAGATACTGAGGCCTGTTGCCACAAACCCGTAGATCCGAACTTGTGGTGATAGTCCGCACAAGCTTGTGTCTACAGGTATGTGTCTGTTAGGCAATCTCACAGACCCAGGGCTTTGCCCTTGTGCCACTCAATATCTCTTCCAAGTCCTTTACTCCTTCTCTTCCCTTTAGTTTCCTTTAAGAGTGGTGGAAATGAAAGAGGGGGTGATATGGAGGAAGGAGACCTTTTGTTCTGCAATGGATGAGGTTCTTCAATGATTAATTTATAGGCTTGTCCTCAATTCCCTTATCTCATAACTACTCTCAGCTCCCAAAAGAGACTGGGCCTGCAGGTGAGGCAGCAAGAGTTTGGGTGACTCAGACAACTTATTGTGGAGTGATGAGGAAATAGATACATAAACAAGGGTTTGTTTTGTTTTCTGTAAACCTGGCTAATTGTTTTCAAAGTTATGATCTTTTTGGAAACTGACAGAGACGTCTTTACACGACCCATTTCACCCTGGTTTGGACTGTACCCCACCCATTGTACTCCAAATACAGTCAAATCAGTCCTTGTCTTTCAAAACAAAATTAATGAGATGAATGGATGTGCTTAACTATTTATACTTCTGTAAATATTCAGTACTGTAAGAAAAAAGATTTTTTTTATAAAAAAGAAATAGCCCGTTCAGGTCTAACTTCATATTTGACCAGAGTTGTTTTATAAGTCTTCACCATGTTTAAAAGCTGGAATGAAAATAATTTTATCCCTTTGCCTCTTAAATGTCACCATTATGCCAAGACTGGAAAGCCAAACGACTACAGATCAAAGCAAAACTGGCTATATTTGTCTCATTCCAACAATATGAACTGAAGAGTCTGTAAACAGAACTCAGGGTGAAAAGTTGATCTGATTTTGGATGACTCTTCAACTTTTGCATTCCCGTTTGGTCAAACATAGTGCCTGGAATTCCCTTAAGATTTTTTTTTTTTTGTAGCCTCTTACAACAAGAAGAGTCAGTATAAGGCAGTTATTGAGTTAACATCAGCAAAAAGCTTGAAATATAAATGGATGCATTTTATTTCATTAAATACTGTCTCCTCTTAAGAGCCACACAGTTCAGGGATAGCTAGAATTCTTCTATCAAGTGTATAAGCAGTATATAAAAATTAAATATTGTATGTCAGAATTAGGGATCCTTGTATATAGAATCACATATGTTTGAAGGATAAACTATCAAGCTCTGCAAATGCTTCACCCAGAGGATATTGTGTATATACATTTCCTTTATGTTTGCTCTGCATAGCATTGAGGAGGGTTGTCTGTAGATCTCAACTTCCAGCTTGCCAAGAAGTCATTGCTTTATTATGGAATGATGGAACATTACATCCAGAAGCGAAAGACTGTCCCCATTGGTGTATATCATGTATAATTGTTTGCTGAATGCCTTTATCCACCCATTCAGCAAACAATCTACTTGGTTGGCTTACATGCCTCTTTGAAGTGGTTGACCGAGAATAGATAAACTGCTAGCAAATTAAACTTGTACCATCTCTGGATAAACACTTATGTTTGAGAAAGGCAAAATCACGTTTCTACTCATCATCCCTTTAACCTGCTGTTACGTGTGCTACCAGTGGGACCAATGGAGTTCATGAATACAAGGGGATGCTGACCTGTCTATATTCTCTGTACAGGGACAACACAAAGACTTCAGGATGACCAGTAGGTAACTGCCAGGTTGTTTCTTTTAAGGAGGGTCTTTTAACTTCAAGAAAAAAGATTATATAGAGCAGTCAATCTTTACAAAGCTTTTAAAAGTACTAAGACATTATTATTTGATTTGCTTGTCTAGAAAATATTGTAGTGGTAAGCCCAAAGGCCCTGGACACTGGGCACAAGAAATAGGATATCAAATATTTTACATAATGATGAAATCCAGTGTTTTCCCCTTCTTCCATGTTCAGGAATGAATGGTGCTGTAGATATTAATTATTCCATTGGGAATCCCTCAGAGTGGACCAAATATTCTATATGAAGCTGTAGAATTTCAGGTTTCTCCCCCCTGCCCCCCCTGAAAGAGTAAAAATATATTTATATAATCATTACTACATGGAGGTGTAGAGAGAATGAGAATTAAACAAACTAGTTTTAATAAAATTCTCAAATAATTACTGTCAAAATACACTTATTAAGCTGTAATGCCAGAATGTAGTTTAGATTTTTTAATGAGAAAAAAATAATTTTTATTCCAGGAATTTTATTTGATAAAGCAATTCACCCCTCATCACCAGAGTTTGGGAGAGACAGGTGAGCAGATATTTAGCTTTCAAAGGATTTCTTGTTTGTATTCCAAAATTAATAAGTTGATTTCTCAACATTGGAAGAAAATGGTGTGTGTAGTATAGAATTAACTTTGAATTTTAAGTTAATATGATATTTTATTTTTCAATGTGCTTATCAATCGTTTCCCAGTGTTTGTCAGGTCCTGTGGATCCTTGTCTACTGACTATGGTATTTAACCTCATCAAGTGTCACCTAGCCTCTCTAATTAGGATTTTTTAAAAGCTTCTTATGCCCATAATAGTGCTTGAATTTTACAGAGATGTCAATATGAATGACTCTTCAAAAATTTCAAAGATTTATTAATAGCTAACATGGTGCTCAATAAAGTATGAGTTGGAATAGAGCCACTGTTTTTTTCTTCTTGTGTACCCATATAGCTAGAAAAATTATAAGATTCATTCAGCAAACCTTTATAAATACTTACTGTGTGTTCAGCATTTTGTTAAATATTGAAGCTATGACACTTATTTAAAAAACTGATTATCTGGTCAGGAGCCCCTTTGCAGAACTGCATATCAGCCATGTTTTCATGAATCACATGTTTTAATTATAACATTTCTCCAACTTCCAAATACCTAATCAAATACAGAATATGCTTTCTAATGGGGAGTCCCTGGTTTTCCATAATCCCAGATACTTGTTTGAGGTTCATTCTCACTTTATTTGGGGGGAATTGCCACTGGTAGCACTTAAAACCTCAATGTTCAATAGACTCTGTTTACATGTATTCAGAATACCTTTGGAATAAATCTTTTTAAAGTTAAAGAGTATAATAGATTTTCTATACATAAAAACATATATAGCTATTATTCTCCTATAAATGCTTCTTATATTTTTACTTCCTCTTTTCAATGAGACCTATTATGACATTATTCCAAATCATAATTGCATGTTGTTATCACATGCCTACAAATATTTACACTACTTATGTAATGAGCCATAATTGCCCTAGTACATGATAATGGGCTAAAATCAATGTAAATAAACAAGGAAATTCACACGACAGAGTATTGAAAACCATTCGTATTCTAAGAGCAACATCCTTTTATGTTTGACCGCTAGAAGAAGAATGTACATGGAGAAAGATGATTTTTTTTCCATTTTCAGATATTTGAAAGCTCTATAAGCTATATGTTTAGGCTAATATACTAGCATTTTAGTGCATCAAAATTCATCCTCTCTTATTGTATTTTCTTTTGTGAACTCCTACCTCCCTTCTATTGCCTTGTTTCCCATTCATAAGGGTGTTTACAGAATCAGGCAACTGGTCAATGCAAGGAAAATGAGAGAAATTCAAATGCAAAGGAAAGAAAGTGAATTATATTTTTCTTTCAAAGTCCCAGTGAACATTCAATCATATACATAAGTGAGTATCTAGAGGCAGAGGACTCACAGTCACTCCTTGAATTTCCACATGAGATCCAGTACTTGAGGCAAACTTGCCAGGGTGAATTCAGCCATCTGCATTCCCCCACCTCTGGAATCTTGGTAATAAATCCACTTTACTGTGATTGAAATTACAATATAAGTGGAAGAACAAGGGACCTGACACAAAAATAAAAATCACCTGGCCCTTAACTTTAGGTTAATACTCCCACTTTATCCATTCACACATTCATACACTTTTGTTTTTATTCAAGAAACATATTTTTAAATCTCTACTATGTGCTAAGTAGTAGGCATGCAGGTGGTACTAGATTTGCAAAGATGAGTGGCACAGCCCCATTTTCTTTTTTGTTTTGTTTGTTTTTTTTTAGCTGAGCCATCCTGCCACCTGTTGGCAGCTCAGCTTCGGCCGGGCATCGAACCACACTGTTGCTCAGAGCTCAAACTCTTGAGCGAGCTCTTAACCAACTGAACCACTCGGCTGGCCTACAGCCCCATTTTCAAATAGCTCAGGGTCTAGCAAAGGAGACAGACATATGATAATGATAATGCAGTGGTATTAGAGTTAATTTAGAAATTTCTAAGTTAAATTAGAAATGTGTGAAATTAGGTAATCAGAGAAAGAACTCTTTAAATTGAGGCTTGAGGGGGTGAATGAAAGTTTGCTTGATAAAACTGACTTCCCAGTGTTTTCCCCAAACCAGGTAGCATTGATTTCACAGAGGCACCCTCCTCAAAAATGCTGCCCCACTTTCTGATAGCTGCATGTGGGAACAGGGTTGAAAAAATAGTCCTCCAGGTAAGTGGAGAAGCATTAAGAAATATCAACTCTACAGCATGTGGATCTATCTTTTGAATATGATCAGCATCATAGAAGTATCACTCTTCAGTTTCCCGTGTACCCAGACACTCCTCCATCTGTGTATGCCTAGGCCTAGCTCCTTTGTGAAATAGCCTTTACCTGACAAAACCAGAACCCAGCTAAGTAATGAGGAGAGGTGGACATCATAGACCACAGAGCAGTCCTCTTGGGAAAAAACAAACCTGACCAAACATGACTTCACATGGAGAAGGGAAGTCACCAAGCTTGTAAGTCTGTCTGCTGCTCCAGCATCTAACTGGAGCTGAAGATAAAGGAAAGTCCCAGATTAAAATTTAAAAGACCAAGGAAGGAAATTTACCATATCCCCTTATAAAGAAAAAATACAGTCTCATTTTTATATGTTGCTAAATAAACTGTTGGGAACAGACTGTATGGAAAGTGCTGAAACATTCAGCTCTGGAAGGAGGGGCGCTTTATAAATATATGAACTATGTAGTATGTATGATACTGCTGAGTGAAGGTTCTTTATTATTTGTTTAT